ATTATCTGTAAATATTTGGTTACTTTTCAGTTTAAAATAACCAAAACCATAAATTGGGTTTTTTTCCTATAATTTTCTTAGTGCAAAGGTAGCAGGGGTCCCACATCAGTGTGAAGGTCTAGACTGTGTTTGTGCTGGGGTTCAGACATTTCTGGACATGCTAGATTTTATGCGTGGAGGATGAATCTGTCAGAGATTATTTGCAGGAATGTCTATCTCAAGGCAAGAAATCAGACGAGTTCAAGTGTGGGTCAAGGCCAGCAGGCTGGCAGAGGGGCTGGGCAATTCTAAGTATCATTCATATGGTCTTCACTGGAGCTAAACAAAACCATGAGGGGAGTGAAATCTGAAAATGCTGCTCGGGAGAAATTGTTACAGGATGTTAGGTTCATGAGGATGCACTTGGGGACAGATGTGATGGAATATAAGCACACAGGTGAGGAAGACAGCTCCTTTCTTCTTTGGTGAAGAGCACAATGGGTCTTGTTCACGTGACCTACTTGGTACAGCAGCCTCTGCATCTTTTTATACATATATTTTGTTGATTATGCCATTACAGTTGTCCCATTTCCCCCTTCATTCCCCTCCCCTCTACACACCCTCTCCCCCACCATTCCCCTCTTTAGTTTATGTCCATGTGTCACAAGTTTTTTTTTTTAATTTTTTTATTGATTATGCTGTTACAGTTGTTCTATTCCCCCCTTCATTCCCCTCCACACTACCACCCCATCCCCACCATTACCCCCCCTTTAGTTTATGACCATGTGTCTCAATTCCTTTAGATTCTATATTTCCCATGCTATTCTTGCCCCCCCCCCCCCCCCATCTATTTTCTATCTACTGTCTATGCTACTTATTTTCTGTACCTTCTCCCCCCTTCCCCTCCTCCCACTCCCCTGTTGCTAACCCTCCATGAGATCTTCATTTCTATGTTTCCACTCCTGATCTAGCTGTCCTTTTAGTTTGCTTTTGTTTTAGGTGTGGTTGTTAATAACTGTGAGTTTGTTGTCCTTTCACTGTTCATGTTTCTTTAACTTCTTTTTCTTAGATAAGTCCCTTTAACATTTCATATAATAAGGGCTTGGTGATGATGAACTCCTTGAATTTGATCTTATCTGAGAAGCACTTTATCTGTCCTTCCATTCTAAATGAAAACTTTGCTGGATAGAGCAATCTTGGTTGTAGGTCTTTGGATTTCATGACTTGGAATACCTCTTTCCAGCCCCTTCTTGCCTATAAGGTCTCTTTTGAGAAATCTGCTGACAGCCTGATGGGGACTCCTTTGTAGGTGACTGTCCCCTTAGCTCTTGCTGCTTCTAGGATTCTCTCCTTCATTTTAATTTTGGCTAATGTAATTATGGTGTGCCTTGGTGTGTTCCTTCTTGGGTCCAACTTCTTTGGGACTCTCTGAGCTTCCTGGATTTCCTGGAAGTCTATTTCCTTTGCCAGATTGGGGAAATTCTCCTTAATTATTTGTTCAAATAAGTTTTCCACTGGTGGCTGTGCCTTTCCCCCCTTCTGGTACCCCTATAATTCGGATGTTGGAGCGTTTAAAGATGTCCTGGAGGTTCCTAAGACTCTTCTCATTTCTTTGAATTCTTGCTTCTTGACTCTTTTCTGTTTGGCCATTATTTGCTTTCTTCTGGTCCACTCCATTGATTTGAGTCCCAGTTTCCTTTTCATTGCTATTGGTGTCCTGTGCAATTCCATTCATTTCAATTAGTTTCGCCTTCATATATTTGTCTAATTTGTCGGTATAATCAACCAGTTCTGTGAGGATCCTGATGACCAGTGTTTTAAACTGTGCGTCTGAGAGTTTTGCTATTTCTTCCTCGCTTAGATCTATGGGCTCTGGGGCTTTGAGATCTTCTTGCGACATTTTTGGTCTGTTCTGGCCCTTAAAGTGTGAGAAGCGGCGCCTTGGACTCCCAGGTCGCTGGGTTGTGATGCTGTATGTGGGGGTGTGGTCAGAGCGAGGAAATGGTGACCCCCTCTGCTGTTTCTCACAGCTGGGTGAGGATTAGTGTCTTAGGTGGTTCACCTGGGCCAGGCCACTCAGAGTCGCTGGGTTATGACGCTGTACGTGGAGGTGGGGTCAGAGTGGGGAAATGGCTGCGCCCTTCACTGCCGCTTGCTGCGGGGACCCACCGGCCCGGTCCAACCGCCCACTCCCTCACCTGTCCGCCCCTGTCCGCCCGCGCACAAATGCGCGACCACAGTCAACACTCAGCACCGCTTCCCTGCTGTCTCCCCCGTGGTCGCTCACCTGGTCGCTCACTCGGTCGCTCACTAGGTCCAACCCTGCGCCTGGATTCCGCGCCTGAGTCCAGCTGACCGAGACCTCCTGTGCAATCCCGCTTCACCAGCCGCTGGTTTCACCCCTTACTGGTCAGGCTGAAGAATTTGTTGTTAACGGACTTCCGAAAAGTTCAATTTTCCATGTTCTGGCTGTGTTTTTCTGTTGCTAATATTTAGTCGTCTCTAAACTTGGTTGTGTGAGAAGGCACGGCACATCCACCTATGCCTCCATCTTGGCAGAAGTCACTCACAAGTTCTTTAGATTCTATATTTCCCATACTATTCTTGCCCTTCCCTCTGTCTATTTTCTACCTACCATCTATGCTACTTATTCTATGTAACTTCTTCCCCCTTCTCCTCCTCCCACTCCCCTGTTGCTAACCCTCCATGTGATCTTCATTTCTATGGTTCTGTTCCTGATCTAGCTGTCCTCTTAGTTTGCTTTTGTTTTAGGTGTGGTTCTTAATAACTGTGAGTTTTCTGTCTTTTCACTGTTCATCTTTTTTGTCTTCTTTTTCTTAGCTAAGTCCCTTTAACATTTCATATAATAAGGTCTTAATGATGATGAACTCCTTGAATTTGATCTTATTTGAGAAGTACTTTGCCCTTCCATTCTAAATGAAAGCTTTGCTGGATAGAGTAATCTTGGATGTAGGTCCTTGCCTTTCATGACTTGCAATACTTCTTTCCAGCCCCTTCTTGCCTGTAAAGTCTCTTTTGAGAAATCCGCTGACAGTCTGATGGGAACTTCTTTGTAGGTGACTGTCCCCTTATCTCTTGCTGCTTCTAGGATTCTCTCTTCATTTTAATCTTGGGTAATATAATTATAATGTGCCTTGGTGTGTTTCTCCTTGGGTCCAACTTCTTTGGGACTCTCTGAGCTTCCTGGAATTCCTAGAAGTCTATTTCCTTTGCCAGGTTGGGGAGATTCTCCTTTATTATTTGTTCAAATAAGTTTTCCACTTGTTGCTGTTCCTCTTCCCCTTCTGGTACCTTTATAATTCAGATGTTGGAACATGTAAAGATGTCCTGGAGGTTCCTAAGCCTCTCCTCATTTTTTTGAATTCTTGTTTCTCATCGTGTTCTGTTTGGTTGTTTCTTTCTTCCTTTTGGTCCACTCCCTTGATTCGAGTCCCAGTTTCCTTTCCATCAGTATTGGTTTCCTGTGCCTTTCTCTTCATTTCACTTAGTTTAGCCTTCATTTATTCTTCTAATTTGTGATTAAAATCAACCAGTTCTGTGAGCATCCTGATCACCAGTGTTTTGAACTGTGCATCTGATAGGCTGGCTATCACTTGGTGGCTTAGAAGTATTGGCTCTGGGGCTTTGAGCTGTTCTTCTTGGGCCATAATGTTTTGTTCTGTTTGCACCTGTTCCATATGAGGGGTGGGGCCTTAGGTGTTCACCAGGGTGGGGCCACCCAGGTTGCTGGGTTGTGATGCTGTATGTGGGGGTGTGGTCAGAGAGGAGCAATGGCACTTGTTCCATGCTTTCTCTCAAATTTTGGTTCCCTCTGCTGCTTCCCCCAAGCAAATTGGGCCCTTCTGGTGCTGGTTTCCAGGTGGTTGGGCTTGTGCACCCTCCAGGACCCTGTGGGTCTCTCCAACTAACTCTGTGAGCCTGGGAGCTCACACCTCACCCTGGCACCTCAACCCCGAATGTTTTTCCAATTGGTGCTTTTAAGCTTTAATTTCCTGTGCTGGGGCCCTGGTTGGCATGGTCTATGTCACTGCTAGTTTTTTTTTTGCCTGGTTTATCTGTGCGTGAATGTGTGACTTCAGTCAGCTAGCCACCCCGAGTCCTCACTGGGTTCCCCTGTTGCCACCCCGAGCCTGGGATCTGCCAACTGCTGCCTGTACGCATGGGTTGGTCCGGCCAATTTCTCCTGCATGACCCTGTTCCACCAGCTGCTGACTCTGCCCCTCTTACCAGTCTGGATGAATGGTTCGTTATTTTCAGACGTCCATACAGTTCAATTTTCTGTCTGTTTTGGTTGTGTTTTTGTTACTAAAACTTTGTTGTCTTTAAACTTGGTTGTATGAGGAGGCACAGTGTTTCCACCTATGCCTCCATCTTGGCTGGAAGTTCCAACCTCTGCATCTTATAGTCAGCCTCCTCATGGCCTCTGCAGGGGAGAGTATGGCCATTGGCCTCCTACTGAGGCATTGCAGGAAAAGGGAGTGAAGGAAAATGAATAGCTGGAGGGACACTAATATTCTCACACATTCCACAGTCCTTGAGATAACAGTAAGAGGTGTGCAGGAAAGGTTGTAAGGATTTAACTCCCCGACCCCCGCTGGCCCCTGCCGACCCCAAGCATGACTGGTACTGTGATCCGAGACTCTTTTGGCTTGGGCACTAAATGCATAGGCAGCAGGAAAGTGAAGATCACATGAATGCTTCAGAAATTATTAGAATGTGACTGTTTACAGAAAGGAAAACAAATGACCTCTACCCGTTCAGTCTTCTCTAATTGAGTTTCACAGGGTGTTTCTTATTTTGCCTCTTAAATTTAATATCTGTGTTGTTCATTGATTATGACTAATGCACCACTCTGATCGGAGATGTTGATAGTGGGGAGACTATATGTGTGCCAGGGTAGGGGATATATAAAGAATCTTTGTTATCTTCCATGTTATCCCCCACTCAATGTTACCTATGAACCTAAAACTGCCCTAAAAAATTACTTTAAGAAGTGGGTGCAACTTACCTGGCAGGGGAGATACCATTCTCATAAAGGTGTTTTTATTTAGGGTGAGGGGTATCCATCTCACTGTGGATGTGCTGACCCCTGAGACTTCCCCAAATGTGGGAATCTCAAGTGTATGATTTGTGGTGGTGGTGGACTGCATTCATACTCTCCCCTGAAAAAAAAAGGTGTAATAGTTTTGCAGTTCTTGGCTGTGAGTGTGTATGGAGGTAGAGCAATAGAAACTCTGTGTTTTCTGATCAATACTGCTATGAACCTAAAACTGCTATAAAAATTAGTCTTTTAAAAATCTTGATAAGAGAAAAGTAGTTAAAGAATTATACCCTGTAGGTTTGGAAACTAATAATGGATTCAAACCTGGTTATTAAAGTAAATAATACATAATAACATTTTAGAGATTAGTGTAAAATCGTTTTTTCATTTATATATAATTATAAGAGAAATCATTAGAAATATCAGCAAGACTGAGAAGCAGAGATGATATGGTGGGAATAAAGGGGGGACTATACATGTTTTTTTTTTTTATTAAATTTATTTATTTTTTTGAATTGATTATGCTGTTACAGTTGTTCTATTCCCCCCTCCATTCCCCTCCACCCTGCCCCCCCAACCCCACCATTACCCCCCTTTAGTTTATGTCCATGTGTCTCAAGTCCTTTAGGTTCTATATTTCCCAAACTATTCTCGCCCCCCCCATCTATTTTCTATCTACTGTCTATGCTACCTGTTTTCTGTACCTTCTCCCCCCATCTCCTCCTCCCATTCCCCTGTTGCTAACCCTCCTTGAGATCTTCATTTCTATGTTTCCACTCCTGTTCTAGCTGTCCTTTTAGTTTGCTTTCGTTTTAGGTGTGGTTGTTAATAACTGTGAGTTTGTTGTCCTTTCACTGTTCATGTTTCTTTATCTTCTTTTTCTTAGATAAGTCCCTTTAACATTTCATATAATAAGGGCTTGGTGATGATGAACTCCTTGAATTTGGTCTTATCTGAGAAGCACCTTATCTGTCCTTCCGTTCTAAATGAAAGTTTTGCTGGGTAGAGCAATCTTGGTTGTAGGTCTTTAGATTTCATGACTTGGAATATTTCTTTCCAGCCCCTTCTTGCCTGTAAGGTCTCTTTTGAGAAATCTGCTGACAGCCTGATGGGGACTCCTTTGTAGGTGATTGTCCCCTTAGCTCTTGCTGCTTCCAGGATTCTTTCCTTCATTTTAATTTTGGCTAATGTAATTATAATATGCCTTGGTGTGTTTCTTCTTGAGTCCAACTTTTTTGGTACTCTCTGGGCTTCTTGGATTTCTTGGAAGTCTATTTCCTTTGCCAGATTGGGGAAATTTTCTTTTATTATTTGTTCAAATAGTTTTTCCACTGGTGGTTGTGTCTTTCCCCCTTCTGGTACCCCTATAATTCGGATATTGGAGCGTTTAAAGATGTCCTGGAGGTTCCTAAGACTCTCCTCATTTCTTTGAATTCTTGCTTCTTGACTCTTTTCTGTTTGTCCATTATTTGCTTTCTTCTGGTCCACTGCATTGATTTGAGTCCCAGTTTCCTTTTCATCTCTATGGGATTCCTGTGGAATTCCATTCATTTCCCTTAATTTAGCCTCCATATGTTTCTCTAATTTGTGGCTGTAATCCACCAAATCTGTGAGGAAGGTGATGACCAGTGTTTTAAACTGTGCGTCTGAGAGTTTTGCTATTTCTTCGTCATTTAGATTTATCTCTGGGGCTTTGAGTTCTGCCTGCGACATTTTTGGTCTGTTCTGGCCCTTTAAGTGGGACAAGCGGGGCCTTGGAGTCCCAGGTCACTGGGTTGTGACGCTGTATGTGGGGGCGTGGTCAGAGCGGGAAATGGCGCGCCGGTCCAACCGCTCACTCCCTCACTCGCGCGCAACCAGGCAACCACAGTCAACTCGCTGCCACCGCCTCCCCACTGTGTCGCTCCCCCGGTGGGCTGCTCGGCGGCTCACCAGGTCCAATCCTGGGTTTGGAACCCGCGCGACTGGATTCGCGCGCCCGGATTCCGTGCCCGGTCCGACCGAGCCCTCCTTTGTAAGTCCTCACCCGACGCCGGTTTCGCCCCTTACCGGTCAGGCTGAAGAATTTGTTGTTAGCGGACTTCCAAAAAGTTCAGTTTTCCGTGTTCTGGTTGTGTTTTGTGATGCTAATATTTAGTTGTCCCTAAACTTGGTTGTGTGAGGAGGCAGGCACATCCAGCTAAACCTCCATCTTGGCGGAAGTCTATACATGTTTTTAAATTTTTGTCTCAAATAGAGACACTCAAAATGTGCCATTTGGTACTTGATTGAAATTGTTAGAAAAATAAAGCTTTTGAAAAACTAGAATAAATTGATTTTGGATAGGGTAAACCAATCAATATTATAAAAATGTAAGTTCTCTCCAAATCAATCTGTAAACAATACAATTCTAAATTATCAACAAACTTTTCTGAAACTTGACAAAATGACTCTAAACAGTATCTGAAAGAAATGTGCGAATGAACAACAAATTTTAAAAGAGGAAATATTAACAGAGCTTACCTCGACAAATATTAAAATGTGTTAGACAATGTAATTCTGAGATACTCTAAAGGTAAATTTAAAAAATATATGAAAAGATGCTGAATGTCACTAATTATCAAAGAAATGCAAATTAAAAACATGAAGAGATAACATCACATACCGATCGGAATGGCTATAATCCATAAAGCAACAAACAAGTACTTGTGAGGATGTGGACCAAAGAGAACCCTAATGCACTGTTGGTGGGAATGCAAACTTGTATAGCCACTGTGGAAAACAGTATGGAGGTTCATAAAAAATGAAACGTGGAACTGCCTTATGACTCAGCAATTCCACTTCTGGGCATATATCCAAAGAAGCACAGAACACTATTTCAAAAGGATATATGTACTCTTGTGTTCATTGCAGTGTTATTTTCAATAGCCAAGAAAGCAGCCCAAGTGACCATCAATAGATGAGTGCTTAAAAAAGTTGCGGTACATGTATACCATGAAATGTGACTTGGTCATGAAAGAATGAAACCTATTTTTGACAGCATTGATGGACCTAAAAGGTATTATGCCAAGTGAAATACATCAGGCAGAGAAAGACAAATACCACATGATTTCACTTATATTTGGAATCTAAAGAGCAAACCAAACTAACAAATAAAACAGAAACAGACTTACAGATACAGAGAATAGACTGTTGCCAGAGGGGAGTGAGTTGGGGGATGGATGAAAAAGAAAGAATTAAGAATTATAAGTTGTTGGTCACACAATAGTCCTGAGGTTGTAAAATACAGCAAAGGGAATACAGTCAATAATACTGAAATACTATATATAGTGTGCTAGGTGGGTACTTGAAATATCAGGGAACCACTTTGTAAAGTATATGATTGTTGAACCACTGTTGTACACCTGAAAGTATTACAAAATAATATTTAATGTAAGCTGAATTGAAAAAATTAAAAATTCATATGATACAGATGATATTTTAAATCAATGAGAAACATATTTTTTAGAAAAAATAGTTTTGGAAATATTGTGTAGTTATCTGGAAATTAATAAATCTGGATTTACTGACATAAATTTTGGAAAGACCACTGAGTTAGATGTATACATAAATATAAAACCCCTAACCAAACAAAAAACTATAAACCAATAGAAAGCAGCATGGCTCTCTATTTATTTTTGTTGTATGTGGTGTACAAGTCTTCTTGGTTATTAATTGATTTGCAATTCAAAACTCATAAAGGAAATTTGGATAATGATGGACAGTAATAAGAGCTAACTGGTCATTTTCTATGTGCTAGGCACTCTTTGGGCTCTTTAAATTTTCTTTCACTTATTTAATACCCATAACCATATAAGGCATATAGATTTTAATACTAGATATCTTGTACAGGTTTGGGAACCAAAGCAAAGGGAAGTTAAGTAACAGGAAGTAGATGGTGAAGCTGGAATTCTGAACCCACTCAGTTTGATTTCGGACCTAAGTGCTTTCCAAGGTACCATGCTACTGATCACTTCCTTAAATAATGGGAACGAACGCATGCAGAAACATTCAGTATAAAATTTAAAAAAAATGACAAACAGGAAGTTATTAGCCCCACCTACTGGCAGTCAAAGGCCAATGAATACTTAAGAAGACACCACTCGATAGATAAATGGACAAATTTCACAATGAGATAATTCATACAATAAGTAACACATGGCTAATAAACATGTAAGAAGATCTTCATTCCCATTAATGATAAGTAATACAAATTGAAGAATGAGACACCCTTTTCAATTGTTGTTTCAGTGTGTCAAAAGTTGACAAACAGTTCCTTTTTTACACATTATTAGTTGGTGACAACATATATTGGTGCAATGTTTTGAAGTGGAAGTTTAGCTGTATCTATCAAAATGGAACATTTACAAAAGCAATTCTACGGGAATTTATTTTAAGGAAATACCTCTTCATATGACCAGAGGAATGTGTGTTTATATAGAAGATTATTCATTACAATATTGTTTATAATGGCAAAACCTTAAAGCCATCTAAATATTCATTAGTAGGAAATTACCTAAACTCAAGAAAAGTTAAAGGATGAGTAGCAATGATTTTCAGAGGGGGAGAGGAATTGGAGGAATTGTGGAGGAATTACACTTTTTTCCTTCTTATTTACTTTTCATTTTTAAAGATTTTATTTGTTTGTAGAGAAAGGGAAAGGGAAGGAAAAAGAAAGGGAGAGAACTATCAATCTGCCTCTTGCAAGAGCCCCAAATGGGGACCAAACCCACAACCCAGGCATGTGCCCTGACTGGTAATTGAATTGGTGACCTTTTGGTTTGCAAACAATGCCCAACCAACTGAGCCACACTGGTCAGGGCCTAATATTTCTTTATTTTAATGTTTTTACAATATTAAAATAGTGCTTTTGCAATCAGAAATAATAATTAAGACATTTTCAAAAAGTTATTTTTAGGAAAATCCTGCAATTCTTAAAACAGATTAGAAATACTTAATAATTACAAGTAGATGAGCACTATATTAAAATACTAGAAAACTTATTTGGAATTTATCAAAGAGTCAAATGAAAAGTAGATTTGACCACCTTACTAGATATCTAAATACTCGAGATAAATATCAATTCTGATTTTAAAATATCTTGGT